GGAGAATCCATTCCATCACGCAGACCACCGGGATCATGCTCAATTTCGAAATCTAGGCACAGAACAAGATTTGGGTGATAATGCCAATCGGAAGATTCTCATATGAGAAGGTAGTAGACAGGATGCAAATGAAAAGTACCTGGTAGAATCCGACAGAGTTAAGCATGAGGCTGAAGTTCATGGCGGCGATGGAGATGTTAGCGACGATTGAGAACCAGAGAAGCTCCCAAAGAGGAACATGCTTTGACGCCGACAAGCCAGTGGCGTTCGACGCTAGACCCACCAGTGCAGTGACGGCGAAGTGGAAACCCGTCAGAGTTGTGGCTGAAAATCACGAATCAGTGATAAGAGATCTCACTCGGATCACAGATTGGCTAAGCAAGTGTACGATTCATTAAGCTTTCACAGGACAAATCCATCGAGTCGAAAGAGAGATAAGGGACAAACCAAAGCTGAAGCCGAAGCCAGAGGAGGACATGAGCTCTTTGTTAGCCATGATGATGCCTACGGAGCTGATGATGTTCATGGCCCAAGCGCCGACATCAGAAACCGCCGGTTTCTTCTCTGCTTCCGTCTTCTCCATCTCCGGGCAATTGGATCGACCTGGAATTCGAATAATCCGAATTGTAAAATCAGATCGAACTGTGCAACTGTCAGATCCGAACCCACAACCTGCCGGGAGCGCACGGGTGATTTAGATGGAATTCAACCCAATTGGATCCGAATCTCGATTCGCCGGAAAAAGGCGGAAATCAGGCGGGAGAAGAGGAGGACACGGCGGAGGAGATCGGGGGAAGCAGTTTCACGCCGTTTGGCCTCCTCTTAAAAGCGGCGGAGAAACCAAATAGCACAGCTCACTCTCTATTTCTCCGTTACCTTGCCACCTACTGTTTCACTTGATGTGGCTATAACGAGTTTCCGCCATCGATGCTTTCCTTGAAAAAAAAAATCATAGAAAGTAATGAGATTCCTGACTTTCAAAAGTTTTGCCAGATTTGACCTCTTGTTTCCGTTGGCAGAATTCCTTAATTGAAGGGTGTTTTCATAATTTGCACAAATCCGCGGTAACGTCTGTCTGAACTGACAACTTTCAGGGGGGATTTAACGTTTTAAGTATTAAATTAAATCGAGTACTTAGCAGTTAGCACCAAGTGTCTGAATCAAATATTAATCGCTCCGTTTCTAAATAAAAATCATTTTAAAAAAATATTTTTTTATTCGATGGATGTCGTTTTAGATAGATTTTTTCAAAATATTTTCCAATTTTACCTTAATCAAAATTATATAATTTCAATAGAGTATTAACAAGAATTTGGTTTAATGAATGTACATACGATTTTTTTTTATATTTCTTTACAAATCTGGAAAAAAGCTAAACCCTCGAAATTTTTCAAAGAGCTAAC